GATGCCATAACAGCTTGCACACTAAATGGGTTCATGCAGAAGATTTTCAAAAACTCTGCAAAAGATACAAAGAGGGATGTGGAATGTGACAACATGGGAGGTGTAAAGGAAGTCAAACTACTCTGTATAATGCCCTTGAAAGCAATTCAGTTATTCCAAAACTGTAGTTTTCAACCTCTCTTCATTTGCAGACCTCTAAACAATTTTGAATGAAGGTGTGTACCCCTTTGGAAATCTTAGACATAATCTATGGACCCTCAAGGGTTAGGGTGACCAGATGTCCCGATTTTTATAGGGACAGTCCCGATTTTTGGGTCTTTTTCTTATATAGGCTTCTATTACCAGGAGCGGCGCCAGGGTTTTTGGCGCCCTAGACGGGGGTCATTCCGCACTCCCGGTCATCGTCGGCAATTCTGCAGCGGGGGGGTCCTTCTGCACTCCCGGTCTTCGGGGCACTTCGTCAGCGGGTCCCGGAGCGAGTGAAGGACCCGCCACAGAATTGCCGCCGAAGACCCGGAGTGCGGAAGGACCCCCCGCTGCCGAATTGCCACCAAGGGCGGCAAAATGCCGCCCCACCCAAATCCTGACGCCCTAGGCAACCGCCTAGGTCGCCTAAATGGAAGCGCCGGCCCTGCCTATTACTCCCCCACCCCCTGTCCTGATTTTTCACATTTACTGTCTGGTCACCCTACCAGGGGTCCATGGAATACATGATAAAAACCACTGTTCCAAAACAATAACTTAGTGCAGAAATGGCTGCTAAGTTATTGCTGATATAAGTAGTAGTACCATGCCCTCAGCAGAAGTCTGAATCTTTGTACACAATAACATTACTGATTTTTAGACTTTGATCAAGCAAGGCATTTAAGCATACAAATAATCCCATTGAAGTCAATGGGACTGCTCATGGGCTTCTGAGTTAAGGACATGATTAATTGGTTTGCTGGATTGAGGCCTTAGTGATTTCTAAGTATACCAGTGCCATCTGCAAATGGCAGGAGTGCATGAGTTCCATGTCAAATTGAAAGAGGTTTAAAAAAATAGCTTACTGCATATTTACAAATGCCTTTGCCCCCTGTTTCATATGCTACCATATGTACTGCAGTGCTATGGATCTGTCCTAGCAAGATATCCCTGGTTTTTTTTAGCAGCTCTACTGCCAGTTACTACATACCACAAATATTCTCTCCTGCCTAGATGGCATGTTATGTGCATTAACTTAGTTAATTCTTGTAGAAGATTTCTACAGATCCATGCCCTTGTATACATTTACTGCAAAGCATATGGTCCTTATCAATTGTGATCCTAGTCTTCATCAGATTACTACTCAAATACTATGGTGATGTGCACTATAAAATTCCTATATAAATAAAATCTCTCTCACACACACACACAGTCTCCGATATGGCCCACACTGGCTGCATAAGTGGGGAAGAAATGAATTGTGAAAGGTTTTGTGTTCCATTTCTATGATGGGGGACTTTGTATTATAACATAAGCATCAAGGTCATGGGTCACGAGAATAGTGTTTTCTTTACAGTCAACCTGAAACTGACAGATTAGATTAATGTTTTGTTCTATTTGTTTTAAGTTGATTACATTTTTAACTCAATTCAATGGGCTTGGAAAATTTGACAAAACACTCCTGAGCTTTTAATCAACTTAAACTTACTTAATGGATGAACACTTCAATAAAAAAACCTGAATGTATATCAACCAGAATGTACACAAAGCATGGCTCTACCAGCCTCTTTATGCTGCTTAGTCAGACTCTAGGTTCCAGCCTATATTAAGTAATTGAACAGTGACTTTGAGAATGGTGGGCTAAAATTTGTGATCCTTAACTGAGAAAGTTCTCTGTCAATGGGATTTTTGTAAGATTAAGAATAAAGGGTAAATTTTTCAATCCTGAATTTTACTCCAATGTTTTAGATGGATCTTTCATGATAAAGATCAGGACTTAATATTTCATTATTGAAAAAACATTTTGTAAGGATACAAACATAGCTGCATAACTATGAAAAGTTAAGAGAATACTTATTATTAGACATTATTTAATCTAAACTGTGTGCTTTTGGGAGCAGGGACTGTCCTTTAGTATACTAGTACACTGCCCACCACTATGCAGCCTGCATCCTGATAGGAGTCTCTTGGCACTACCATAATACAAATGATAAGTGAGTACGAGGTCCAGACTGTATAATAGCATGGAGTCAAAATCTTCTCATCTTTTTGAAAACAAATGGAATTGCTTTCAATTTCAGATGTACTAAATGACTTGTCTGAACCCAGGGATGGCCTTCTCGCATATTTATGAGCTCTTGGATTCACAATATTTCAGAGGGTGCTGCTACTCACATTTATCTTCTCCATTGCATTAGATAACAATTGGTGCTCTGGGTCACATTGCCAACCAAGCTATGATTACAACTAGAGTTTCACTGTGTATTGTGCAAGTGTTCAGAATTTTCTGCATCTCCACATCTGGTGATGTTGGTTGTTTTTTAATATTATTAACTGATATTGTGGTAGCACGAAGGAACCACTGTTATCGCTCAGCGCCCCACTGTGTTAGGCACTGTATAAACACATCAAAGAGATGGCCCCTCCCCAAAGATCCATGGGAGTTTTGGCAGAATTAGAATCAGGGCCAATAACTTAGAATTGGGGCCAATAAATGTAAAATTATCAGCTCCTAATAAGATACATCATAGTCAAACATATAACATTTTGGGCCTGATCCTGTAAACCCTGTGGGTGCATAAATCCTATTGAAATCAATAGGACTTCAGATAGGACTGACAGGGGACCACTGAAATCTGTTAACAGATTTGAGTGTGTTTATAAGTGGCATAATATAATGTGTTTGAACGATGGTGTAAAACTAGGCCATTTGTATCCAATATAGTCACTCATATCTTTGTTGGGTTCTTACTATTGCTACTGTATTCCAGAAACCCTGCCTGTGTTCTATTAACTATCCTGCTGAAAAAAAAGATAACTTCCTGATCTTGGAGTGAGATCTTGACAAAATAAACCTTTGAATTTTGCTGCTTTACTCAGGGGCTGGTTGCTGTTCAAATACAAGATTTCTCATTACATATGGGAAGGGTCTGTTCTCCTAGAGAGAACCCCGGTTCTTACCACAGAATTAATCCACCACTGCGACACAAAATGGGGAGCAGAACTTGGGGAGGTCATGCAAGGGGTGTGCAGAGGTCACTGCCACAGGAACCCCATCTGAGCTTTTCCTTTGGCCTAGACTACCAGTTATTACATTATTCCTGTAGTCCTTCTACCCTGCTTGGTAGGGTGAATAGAAGATTGACTCCATTGCCACTATGTGGTTTAGTGGGAGGATTCAATGGATTCCCTGGTGTCAAGACAAGCTGCTCAGGCAAGCACTGGGGAGAGAAACTTGGCCCTAATGTTGTTCTCATCAACACTTATAATTTATTTTTGTAGGTTAATTTAAAATTCATGTAAAACATCACAGCCCTGGAAACCAAAGCTCTTGTGGTCCTTGTCTTCACCAGGAAAATCATGTCTGTTTTTCCACCAGCAGTGCAGCTCCAATGATGATGTGGCGGAAGGGAAAACCAATCTTTCTACTGTAGATGCACTCAACTGTGCAAAGAACAGGAATAACCCAGTCAATACAAGGGCAAGCTTCCCCCTCAAGCTACCCCGCAAAAGCTCGTTTTCTTGTTAATTGAATGAGATTCTCACACGTGTAATGCTTGAATCCCTGTCCCTAAAAATCCATTTGGATACAAGTCATTTTTTAAGCAGAGCTCCCTATTACCTGCTAGCGGAAGTTCTAGTTAATCAGTGGCATAATGTGGCCCTATGTGAGGAGTGAGCATGGATCTTTGAAGTGATTGGCAAGTCTTTTCCTTTCCCCAAGGACACATCACCCTGTAGCATACTCCCTCCAGTTTGGGACCAAATTCTGCCTGTGAATATCTACTAGGCTGCTATTAGAATCTTAAGAGATTTCATCTGTGTGCATACCAGCTGAGGATGTGGCCCAGAATCTGTCTTGTACCGTCAAGCCAGAGTGTACATATTAAATATGATTACATTATTTTGTTTGCTTGAATATTCCATTAGGTATGCTGAAAACAGAGCAAGTGTTGGTTTTTTTTTTTTTTTTTTTTTTTTTTTGGTATGCATTTTAGGGTTTGATTCACTGGTCGTTTAAGCTCACTAAAAATCAATGGGAGTCTTTCCAATGGCTTCAATGGACTTTAGATTAGGCTTCATTAGAATTAGTCCTGGCTTATACCAATGTGACAAGTGAATGAGGCCTTAATATGTTGAACAATGGTGTAAAAATGTGCCCTTGTATCATATTACATCAGCAAATTAAGACTTTGTATCAATTAAGCCCATTTTATTCAAATAAACTGGTTTTCCATTTCCACAAAATGACATCTTATCACTTTTGTTCAGTATGCAAACACACCCATTTACATTGTCTTGCAAATTAATACATGCACTAACAAGTAATTTAAAAAAAAAGCCAAAATATCACCCACCACCCCCAAATACATGTTTAGTTTAAGTTACAAAATCTACAGTAGTTCTGTATATTTTTGATAGTATTTTAAATAAAGAAATTAAAACTACAACTATTTTATATACAGACAACATACATTGTTAGAATAACAGACTATTAAAATAATACTACATAGATTACTTTCAGAGTGCTGACTGTGAGTAAAGAAAAACACTATCTTCAACACTGAGCCTGACCTTGCTACTCACTCAAGTATTCCTTACTCTCACAAGTAGTCCCATTTGGGGGCATGAACCAACTCCCACTAAAGACTGGATGTTTTGCATTGACTTCATTGGGAGCATGATGATCAGACTCAAGTCAATGGGCCTACCCATGTGAGAAAGGGTTAGAGAATCAAGCACACAGTTGATACATTGAGTCAGTAAGATTTTGTCATTGAATTCCAAAGTAGTAGAACTGGGCCCTAAATACCTGTTTAGACTTTTAACAAGGATTCCACTGAAAATGACAAGCTCTGATTTTTAATTTTCATTTCCGAATAGCATTCTTGGGATACTCTAGCTAAGTGTCTGAGGTTCTCCTTTGCCAGAGAACACTTATTTTTCACATGTTGGCTCACTTGCTGCTTTTCTGGTATGAAAGGATCATTTTGTAAGATAAAAACTTCTGAGCCAATGTCCTGCTTCTGGTTGGATACAAAATGTTCTTTAACTTTTTCAAAACTTGCTTGTGTTTTTGTTGCCTTCGATCTCAAATCGCTCTGAAAGGAGCCAAGTTCTTTGGCTAAAATATTGGCCTGAGCCAGCTCCTTACACACTTGTGCATATTTCTCTGCATACTTAGTAAAGGTATATTTCTGTAAAAGGTTGCTTTCGATTTGGTCTGATGTAAAAGTAGTTACATTTGGCAGGAAAAAATCTCTAGTCTGATAAAGCGTTGTGCTTGAATGTATCAAAGGAAACCAAACATTTATCAAACTGTGGTTAAAATATGTTGAGTCACAAAGCTGGCTGTGTCCAATCCTAAATGGGTTTGTTTCTGTGCCTGGTAAAAAGTCTTCATTTGGTCTTTGTAGACTTTGAGCTACAGCTAAGTCCTTTAGTTCTCTCTGCCTAAGTTCTCTCTCCAACATTATGCATTCCAGCTCTTTATCTGCAAATGTTCTTCGTTTCCTCATTCTCTCACTCAGGTTAGAAAAGAGGAGTTGGCTTTCCTGTGAAGGAGGTTTATACCCTAGGAGAACAAATGAAAAGCTTCCTTTAGTACTCTTTATCATTCTCATAATCAATTATTTGTACATTACTGTAGTGTACTGTAGGTCCTAGCTAAGATCAGAGCCCCTTTGTGCTAGATGCTGTGCAAACATGTAGTAACAGACATCCCTGGACCCTGCCTGGAAGAGTTTAGTCTAACTAGGCAAGTCAGACAAAGGACAAGAGGGGAAATGCAGAGCAGGAAAGTAACTTGCCCAGGCTCCTAATTCCCAGTCCAGTGCTCTGTCTGGTACACCATGCTGTCCTATAAACTAAGAACTTATCTTAATGGACAATATTATTTTAGTGCCTCCTAGAAATATTTGTTGAAAGGTTTTATTAATTTTAAAAACAGTCACTTATAGATTTCACTTCATTCTTACCTGAATCATGTAAGGGATAACCTGTCTAACCCTTGGACTAGTCTGGACTATCTAACAAAGATGAAAATTAGAAAGTAGAAACACATATTTTTGATCATTTGCAGTCATAGAATCATAGAAGATTAGGGTTGGAAGAAACTTCAGGAGGTCATCTAGTCCAACCCCCTGCTCAAAAAAGGACCAATCCCAACTAAAGCATCCCAGCCAGGGCTTTGTCAAGCCAGGCCTTAAAAACTTCTACAGATGGAGATTTCACCACCTCCTGAGGTAACCCATTCTAGTGCTTCATCACCCTCCTAGTGAAATAGTTTTTCCTAATATCCAACCTAGACCTCCCCCACTACAATTTGAGACCATTGCTTCTTGTTCTGTCATGTGCCACCACTGAGAACAGCCTAGCTCCATCCTCTTCAGAACCCCACTTCAGGTAATTGAAGGCTGCTATCAAATCCCCCCCTCACTCTTCTCTTCTGCAGACTAAATAAGCCCAGTTCCCTCAGCCTCTCCTCGTAAGTCATGATCCTTGTCCTGTATTTGCAAAAATTTTACTAGCAAGGCTAGGATTTTATGTTTAAGTGGAACTATACTTTTTGCATTATGATTAAAATTTAAATAACTATTCAGTGCTATAAAATGTACAAGGGGCTTTACAAACATAGGGCCTGAGCATTCCCACTCAAGTCAATGCAGGTATCATAGCTTCTTGCCTGTGGCCCTACTACGTCCATCACTGCCAATATCTTAGGAACACAGGAATTATCATAATGGATCAGACCATTAGGTGCCCAGGACCATCTGCTGCAGAAGACAATTATAGAATAACATGCCCAAAAGGAAAAGTTTCTTCCCAAGTAAAAATGAGAAAATAATGGATTTTTCAGTTCAGGGGCTGAATGAATCCCCCAAAGAAATCCAATCCAATTCAAATCAAAACAATTTAATTTTTTTCATTAAATCAAAAACTCAAATTGTTTTGAATTGACCAAAACTTTTTTCCCCCAAGTTTTTTCATTTCAATTCAGCTATTTCAGGTGTCTTCCCATTTTTTGGTGGTGTGTTGTTTGTTTTTGTTTTTTAATTGGCCAAATTTGAATGGGAATGCTATTGCAAATCAGAGTTGAAACAAAACATTTCTACTTTTTCTAAATGAAGTCTAAATGAAATGTTGTCTTGGTCCAAAAAAATAAAAACAAATACAATGCAACCTGTCAATTGGATAGTTTTGGGCACTGAAAAAACCTCGTTTTTCTATGAAGAATTTTTTAGAATTTCACCCAGCTCTATGCCTAATCTCCATTCAATTCACACACGTTAAGACTAAAAGGGACCGTTATGATATTCTAATCTGACCTGCATAACACAGGCCATAGAATTTCACCTAATAATTCCTTCATCAAGCCCAAGTACAATGTGGTTGAACTCAGGCGTAACTTTTTAGAGAGGCATTCAGTCTTGATTTAAAGATTTCAAATGACTGATTCCATGACACCCCTTGCTAGTCTGCTCTAATGGTTAATTGCCCATGCTGTCAAAATTTTGCACTTTTGGCCTTGTCTACACATATTTGCACCAGTTTAAACTGGACAGGGCACTTGTTTTGGTTTAATAGTTACACATTTAATTTTAGCTTAAATCTGTTCCTCAACTGAAATATGGGATGTACTCTACCTTGAGACAGAGAGCATCCTTCTTGGAAATTCCAAAGGCCAACTGTTACAAAGGCTATTTTGGGATGGACAGTGTCCCAAAAGGAGGCATAAGTATCTTGCCAAGTTGAGGCTATAGATAGACAGATCCTTACCTGCCAGTATGCTTTTGGCCCAGGTGCTGGTATTCTTGGGATAGAGATAGTTTAATCTGCAACTGGTTGATAGCAGAGAATGTTCATCTTCATCTTTCTTAACCTGTGCATAGTTATGGAAAGAGAAAATAAGATAAACCACGCAATCCTTTTAAGCCATGTCTATACTATGGGCACCACAGTGACATGGCTACACCATTGTAGCTATACTGCGCACCCCCTAATGCAGACACAGACTACAGCAATGGAAGGGGTTTTCCCATGGCTGTAGGAACTACAGCACCACTAGTGATTGTACCTAGGTTGATGGAAACATTCTTCCATCAACCTAGCTATGTCTACAGCAGAGGCTAGATTGGGATAGCGACTTCAGTCAGCAGTGTGGATTTTTTCACACCACTGAGCATCATAGCCATGTTGAACTAAGTTTTAAGTGTCGCTTGGGGGCTTATATTTTCATTACTAAGATGCTACTAAAGTTAGTATAGCAAGAATATTGAAAGTATTTTGAAGGACGGAGGAAAATATCACTCAAAATGAAGACAAATGTTAGCATCCTATTTTGTGAATACTGAGTACGTATTCAACCTTTTTAAATGTAATTCTTGTTAGGGATTTGGAAACTTAATCTAGCTACCTGAATAAACACTCATTTTGTTGGCAACAAAATAAGAAAGGGAAATAACTTGTCAGTTACTCCATCTTTTACACCACTGAGGAATTACAACAAGATTCTGCCAATAAAAAGCAGACTTGCTACTGCACCATGATTTCATCCAACAGGAGATTGTTCAGAACATCACAATCTACATTTCCTTTTCCTATAGGATAGCAGATTCTTTTGGAAAAAGCTTGTCAGGCTGGCCTATTGGTACTTCCCTCAGTCCTTTAATACTAGGATAATTACAGAGGAACTGAGACTTCAACCCTGAATTGTTTGGGGCTGCAGTCTAATTCTACAGAAATAATACAAAAATAGTACTGTTAGTACATACACACGGCAGCATTAAAGGGTCCTGATCCTACAGTTCATATTAAATGCCCTGAGACAAGATGGGTGAGGTAATATCTTTTATTAGACCAACTTCTGTTGGTAATAGAGACAAACTTTCGAGCTTTACCCAGAGCTCTATTTTCTTGAAGCTTAAGTAAAGCAATTACATAGTAAGAAATACCTAAACCAAGATGTTTAAGAACAAAAGCCAAAGGGAAAGATGATACTTACCTCCTTTGTAAATCCCTTTGTGATCTACTGATAAAAAGTGCTATGTAAGAGCTAAATATTTCATAATATAGTTAAGTTCTGACATCCATATTTGGGCACCTAAATACGTGGCTCTGTTATCAAGAGTGCTGAACACCTACTGAAGTCAGTGGAGTTGGTGGGTGTTTGGCACGTGAAAACCTGGCTACTTATTTAGGTAGCTACATATGGATTTATGGTAGGAGCCTAAGTAGTGCATTATATGTTGAGCATTTATCCAGTTTTCAAATTTGCAGGAATATTTAACAAATACAATAAAATGTTTGTTAACCTCCATCATCATTCTAAAATGTACTAAAACTTCAATTGCAAGGCTTACTAAACTAAAACAAGTAGGGGACAGGGGTAGAGCTACTGACACTGTAATGCTAGCTCTTACCTAGTGCTTTTCAGCCAGAGAGCGCAAACCACTTTACAGAGGGGGGCAGTACCATGACCCCCATTTTACAGATAGGGAAACTGAGGCACACCGGGCCCGTGGCTAAGCCAGGCACAGAACCCAGCTCGCCTGAGTCCTTTAATAGAGCAACTCTCAATCTAAGATTTATCTCACCAGGCGGGAGATTTGCTCCCTCCCCCCCCCGCACTCAGCCTCTACCCTTCGCCACTGCAGCCCCGCCTGAGCGCCGCTGCTTCAGCGCGCGCGCGGGGCTGCCGCGTGCTCACCTGCCCGGCGCGCTGCTGCCTCCGCAGAGCCACCTGCGCCGCCGTCACGCGCTGCCGCTCCAGCACCAGGCGGCAGCCGGCGCACGCGCAGTCCCGCCACCGGCACAGCCGCTTGTGGCCCTTCAGGCCGGACACCACGCCGTGGTTCCTGCAGCGCGCGCACTTGGGCACCCGGCACGCGCGCCGGCCCGGGGCTGCGGTAGGGGGCTGCGGCCGGCTGCCGCCCGTCCTGGTCCTGGCCCCGGGCTGGGGCGGCGGCCGGGCCGGAGAGCCGCTGCGCCGCCGCCCCCCTGTCTCCCGCTCCGCGGGCGGCATCCAGCTCCCCGCGGCAGCCCCAGCCCCAGCCAGCGGAGCGCGGGGGAGGCGAGTCCCCAGCCCGGGCGGGCTCAGGCACTGACTTCAGCGGGGCGGGGCGTCCCCGCTCCTGCAGCGGCTGCTCCCCTCTGCAGCCGGGCTGGCACCGGCACCGCCCGCTCCTTGCGCTCCTCGCCCGCGGCTCCTGCCGGGCCCCCGCGCAGCACAGCCGTTAATGAAGGGCCAGGCAGGCCCGCGCTAGACCTTGACGTCAGCTGCCTCCCCCTCCAAGCCGGGGGGCAGGCAGCCCCGGGGGGGCAGGGAGCAGTGCCTCCCTCGGGGCAGGGAGCACTCAGCCCGGCCGCTTGGCAGACACCTGCACCCCCTCTGCTGCCTGAGCCAGACCAGGTAGGTGAGCTAATAGCTTGTATTGGACCAGCTTCTGTCGGTGAGCAAGACAAGCTTTGGAGCTGCCCAGAGCTCTGCTTCAGGTCTAGGAAACTAACCCAGAGGGTCACTGGGCAATACAAGACTTGAACGAATTGTTTAGCAAAAGTGGGGCCCGTTGGTTCTAGTCATAGGGGGGAAAGGAAGAGAGGGGAGGGAAAAAGGTAACTGGGGGAGGGGAGTGTTGTTAGATTATAGGTTATAGATTGTTGTACTAAGCGGTAATTCCAGTGTTTCTATTCAGTCCATGGTTTTTAAGTGTCTAGCAAAGTTTCTTTAAATTAAACTCCCAGGCGCATCTTTTGAAAGTGTTGTGCAGGATGCCTTTGCAGGTGAGGACTGATTGGTCTGATGCGGAGTGAAAAGTGTTCACCCACAGGTGATGTGGTGGTTTTGTCACATTTCCCTTCTTTTTCAGCTTCCCAGAGTGCATTGACAGCTCCAGGATTCAGCTCTTTCCTTCTTGGAAAGAGGAAGGGCTGAGTTCCCAACTCTGTCTTCCAAAATCTAGGAATCGCCTCCTGTTGGAACACCGTGTTAGCTGCACAGGCTCCCTGCACGCTGTAGGTGCCACAGCACACTTGATTTTTATTACCACCTGCCTGCTGTTACAGTATAAATCAGCAGTATTAGGATTGAGTAAAATAGGCTGATTTGTTCCTTTCTTGCTTCTTTCCAAGAATATGATCAACTATTTTTATAGTGTTTATAGAAAAAGGCATTGGAGAGTAATAGTGAACTCCCTGATGAATTAAGAACCTACAAGTTCAGAACAGTTATTTAAAATCCAAATAAAGTTAGAAACCTGGACAAAGCAGGAGCATTCTAACAAACTTCCCTCCCCGCCCCTTCTCTGACAAATATCCTTCATCAGGCCACCTAACAGAACAAATCTGTCTAGATGAAAGGCTGGCTTGTGGTCAGCCCAGCTGAGAGTCTGAAATGTAGTACGTTCGGTGATGCTTAGAGAGTGTGTGGAATCAAAGATGTTTTGAGATTGATCAAGCTGTGCATCTGAGTCTTATGTTTGCAGTGTTGAAGTAGAGATCTGTGTAGATCAAAAGCTTGTCTCTTTCACCAACAGAAATTGGTTCTATAAAGGATATTACCTCTCCCACCTTGTCATCTGAGACTTAGATCTTTTTAATTCCTCAGTCATCTTTCAGCTGGCCAGATCCAGCTGTGCACACATCTTTACACATTACATTTTGCTGTGTGTGAGAGAGGTGTGGTATGAGCACAGAAGTGGGAGCCAGTTGTCCAGATTTTAACTCCAGGCGTGACAATGTCTCCATGTGTGACGTGCAAATCATTTAATCCCCATGCTTCCATTTTTCTATAGGCAAGTGGAGATTATACATTTATCACCGGGGGGCTGTGAGAATTAATAGCCCGTGTTTTAAAAAGTAACTAGTAATTTTGAGTGACTCCATTTTTTTAGGTTTCCAATTTGAAACACTGTTTGACAGGAGTCTGATTTTCAGAAGGTGGATGCTTAGCATTTTCTGGTTATGGTACTGTAATGTCACATACCCTGCACGAGAAAGATCTGCTAAAATTTCGAGATGGACTTTCAGGGCTGTCTAAATTACACTAGAGACTGCAGGCCAGCTCAGGATTGGAAATGCACAAAGCTGGTTTAAAGCTACCAGAGTCCCCCACCTCCACTCCCTGGGCTATGAGCTCTGAGATGCGCCTCTTAAAGGATGAAGAGGAGTTATTTGATGTAATGCACTGGTGTAACTAGGCAATGGGATAGAATTAAGAAAAGAAAACTAATTAGCTTGAGTATATCAGAAAAAAGCTCTTGACTATGAGTTTGTGATAGGGAGTATAGTCTCCTAAGTTCCAACAGATGTGCTGGAAGTCCCAACACATGGGATTTTTAAAACTATCCAGAACAAAACACTGAAAAATATACTGCAGGAAACAAGCCTGCATTGGTAAGCAGATGGATTGGGTGACCAGTAGGGTAAATAGGTCTTCTCCATCTCTGACTTTTATGAAACTATGCTGCACTATGACTTGTGACTTTCCCCAAAGTTAAACAAAATGTCCCTTGTTGCTCATTCTCTTACACAGTATGCTGTCATATACTAACATATCTGCTTTCAAGACCCATCTGTGCCATATTTTGCAATTTACTTATGTACATATATGATTTCCTCCCTTCCCCCATCTCTACTTATAATATCCCTTTTGGACAGGCATGGTCATTTGTTTTCTTATGGCCCTGGGCACTAGGGCTGTGCTCACCTGGAGAGAGCCAGACTGGAAGTTAAGACTAAGGCATTTTTTACTCTGAAGGAGAAATGTAGTAGGGTAATAATACCGTCATTAAATTGAAATGGCACCAGTGGTAAAGAATCTAAGTCAGAAAGTTTAAGGAAGTTGAAATTATTCTCACTGGAAAAAGACTTCAAGATGTCCTAAGAGGCAAATTCTGCTCTCAGTCCACCCAATTATAACAAGAATAACTCCAGAATTTGGAGACTATCCAAGCATATTTAGTTACACTGGGGTAACTAAGATAAGAAGGTGGCATGATTCCCCCACTTGGTTAAATTTTCAAAATAAGAACTTTTGTGCTTTCTCCCATGTTGCCCTTCACGCCCCATAAATATTTGCAAAACTACCTCACTATCCTCCTTTAAAACCCTGCTTCACAACTCCGGTACCCAAGCGAGCTAAATTAAAAATAGCTCAGGTATGTCTACTCAAGCTGCAGTCACACCCCGTGTTTGCAGTGTGTAGACATACCCGTAGTCCCATTGAAACCAGTATAGCTACTTGTATGAGTCACGTGCTCAGCCAGGGAGAGTTCCACCATGTAGCTCTATGTGATAAAATCATTGCTCTAATGAAGGACTGTGGTGAACTAAGATGTTTAGTGATGCTCTGATTTTAAGAATAGATTCCACAAGGCCTTCCCTTAAGTTTGGATTGCTCTCAAAACATTTTGTCAGGCTAAACACTGGCATAGCTCTGTGACTAATGCTAACATGGCAGTGGTTAAAATACTTTCTGAAAAATAGGAAAACCAGAGAGATTTGCCTATGAAGAGTGATTTAATTAAAGTTTCTGCTGCTCCAAGGTAGGTATTTTTCACATCATAAATAGTTCTGTCATTGAAATTATTTTTATAAAGGGGAGGTAGAATTTTTTCCAGCAAACTGTTGACTTCATTCGTAGGCAATTAAATAGTTCTCTAGTTAGCTGGATTACTGTTCAAAATTAATTACTTATTAATGTGGAAAAAACAGGTATATTCTTCCTGGGCTTTCTATAGACTACATCTAATTCCAAGAAGAGGAAGAAACCTACATTCTGATCCTATTTTTTCTTTAAATTGGAAAGAGTTAATGTTCCCCCATTCTAGGCACTGTCATATGAAAGCATGCCTTAGTCCAGAAGCAAAACTGACACTGCAAAATGTTAACATCTTGCACTCTGCTATTAATAGATGGCACTAAAACAGTCATAAATGATTTTTACATATGCTTGCTGAATGCAAATACTATTCCCCCTTTTGGAAACCGTTACGTTGTTTTTTTTACCCCAAAGCTCCTACAGAAAATGCAGAAGCAAATTTACGATATTCTGAGCTTTTGGACAATGTCACAGACACCTTTGTACAAAACTTGGAGCCTAGTCTTGCATAGCTTAAACTCACATCAGTTGCCTTTATACTCTTACAAGTTGTTCCAGAGAAAGCAATGGGACTACTTGTGTGAGTATGGTTTGAAGCATCAGGTCTGTAATTTTAACCTATCTCCTGTAGTACGTAAACAATCATTAGCATTTCATTTATTACAGAATGACAGTGGTTAGTAGGAGAGAATGAAGCATGTCAAATATTAAGAGCCACATCTTCAGAAGTGCAGCTACATAAATGTGCACATAATGAAAGATTCGACCCTAAAAATGCATAGAAACATAATGATCCTGTAAGTGTGTTTCATGCCCGCAATTCCCACTGTGGTCCATGGTAGCTTTGCATGCGGAAGGATTGCAGGCGCTGTGCCATAGATGACCATTAAAAAAATTTAAGTTCTGTTAACTTGACCAGCATTTGTGCAGTTTCAGCTCCAACATAAACCAATAAAAATCATAGAATTATTTGGATTGGAAGGGCCTTCTAGCGATTTGTCTAGTCCAAACTATTCCATCCTGCTGAAACTGGTTTCATTATCCCTAGCAGTCGATTAATTTTTAAAAATGAATCAGGAGAAACCTTGTTTACATTAAATTTGGAATTGCAGTGATTTGGCGAGGAACCTTTTAAACCTACTGCGTTAAAATACCAATTACAATGAGCTTTTCGTTCCTTCGTTAAAAGAGGGTCAGGTGAGGGTAAAATGGAAGGCTGAATTAATGCCATGACAACTCAAGATAATCCCCATTGTCAGCTAAAGAGTCATTCACTGTGGATCTCTTACCAATTTACCCTGATTTTTAGTATAATAGTGAGCGCAAAGGAACATCTGAATAAATTTCTTGAAAGTGTGAAGAACTAAGTGTTTTTTGCTCAGATAACACAAAAGCAATTGGTGGGATTAAGTACAAATGTTTCC